GTTAGTCATATGATCCTGCAGTTCCACTCCTGAATATATACCCAAGAGAAGCAGATGTCTACACAAGAACGGATCCACCGTGTCATAGCAACATTGTGGATAGTGGTGTATGATTTAGCCACGAAAAGGAAACAAAGTACTGATCCATATGCTATGGTATTGGTGGACTCTGAAAGTGTTATGCTAAGTGGAAGAAGCCCACTGCAGAAGACCACATAGGTGATTTTGTTTAATGAACTGTCCAGCGTAGGCCAGTCCGGAGAGACAGGAAGTGGATCTATGGGTGCTCCTGCGTAGGAAGACAGGAGAATGAGGAGTTTCATTTTGAAGTGACGGAAATATTCTAAAATCAGAAAATGATGATGGTTGTACGGCTCTGAACTTACTAATGTACATGGAATTGTATATTTTGGACAAGCGGATTTAATGGCAAGTAAATTTTCATAAAGCTGATATAAAAAATTTTTTTTAAAGTAGACTTGCAGTAATGGTGAGGGAAACAGAACACAAGGTTCATTTGCGTACCGTGTTTCCGGCAAGATCATTAGACTGGAGCACTGAGAGCCGTAAAGAGATTTGCCTTAGAACGTTGCCTGAGAACTATGCCCTCCGGATGATCCCGTCAGGACCAGTGGTGTGAGTGGCGATACTGGGAGGGTGGAGGGAGGGTGGGGTGGAAAGGGGGAACCGATTACAAGGATATACATGTGACCTCCTCCCTGGGGGATAGACAACAGAAAAGTGGGTGAAGGGAGACATCAGACAGTGTAAGATATGACAAAATAATACTTTATAAATTATCAAGGGTTCAAGAGGGAGGGGGGAGAGGGGAGGGAGGGGAAAAATGAGGACCTAATGCTGGGGGCTTAACTGGAGAGCAAATGTTTTGAGAATGAGGAGGGCAATGAATGTACAAATGCGCTTTACACAATTGATTTATGTATGGATTGTGATGAGTTGTATGAGCCCCTAATAAAACGATTTAAAAAAAACTATGCCCTCAAGACAATAGCTCAAGGTTTATAAAAATTCCTGTTCACAACTGTACATCAAATTATAAAGCAGATACTTGGAAACAGTCTAGCTATGTAGAAGGAAATGATGAATTCTTTAAGAAGGCAGTGCAATGCAATCATTTGGACACGTTATCAGGAGGCCAAGTCCCTGGAGAAGGACATCATGTTTGGAACAGGCAGCACAAAGAGGGTCCTCGGTGAGGTAGAGTGCCACAGTGCTTCAGCGGCGAGGGCAGTGTGTTCTCTTGCACACAGCATCGCGCTGACTTGACGGCACCTAACAACGATGCAGTCATTACAGTCATATTTTGAGGAACATTTTAGAACAAAGGAAATGTTCATGATCAAGTCTTAAGTGAAAAAGCATGTTAAACTCAGTGCTACTGTACCCTTCGCCCCCCACCCCAAAAAAAAAAAAAAAAGCAGGGGCTGGGCGTGGTGGCTTACCATAGGCCGAAGTTCTTAAGAAAGGCCTGCTTTCAAGGTTGGCCCCTGGCTGGCTTGTGCTCACTTTGCTCCTGGAGTTTTTCCCATTGTATCCTGACAAGTGTGGTTCACGGTCTTTAGCTGATCTTGCAACCAAAGTGTTTTATGTTGAATGCCTGCTTTCCTTAGAAAGTCCCCCCAAAACAAACCCACTACCATCAAATCAATCTGACTCCTAGTGATTGTCTTAGGCTAGGTTCTCTACAACAACAAAAACAGGAGGAGTCAAGATGGCGGCCAGGTAGAATCACCTACCTGGAGCTCCTGTTGCTAGACCAGATTAAGAGAGGCATGGGAAGCCAGCCCGAGGAGAAAGCAATGGGATCAATGGTCCCGGAGGGATTTGGGGGAGGAGGGGATTATCATCAACAAGGAGGAGGACCTAGCAACCCTGGGGCGGCTGTTGGAGCAACAGCAGTCTAGCCGAGAGGAATGACCAAGAGGCCGAAGAGCGAGCGTGATGGTGGGACAGGAAAGATCTAGGAAGCAAACTGTGGATAGAGGTATAAATACAGGTGTGTACATATGTAACTATATGAATTCATAAAAACAGAGGTATTGACTTATGTACATATATTTATATGGCAATACATTGAGGTAGTAGATGGTCTTTGGGCCTCTGCTCTAGCTCTCCGTCAACACAAGAACATTTAGTTCTAACAACCTGACATTCTGTGATGCTCACCCTCCTAACATGGTTGCTGAAGACAAAAAGCACAAGCAGATGTAGTGAAGAAAGCTGATAGTGCCCAGCTATCAAAATATATAGTGTCTGGGGTCTTAAAGGCTTGAAGTTAAACAAGCGGCCACCTGAAAGCAGAGAACCAACAAGGCCATGTGGAAGAAGCACACCAGCCTGTGTGGTCATGAGGTGTCAACAGGATCAAGTAGTAGGCATCAGAAGACCCAAAACAAACAAACAGACAAAAGAACATATTGCTGAGAATGAGAGGGGTTAGAGCAGAGACCCCAAACCTATCTGTAGACAATGGGACATTGCCTCACAGAGGGGTCACAAGGAAGGGATGAGTTAACCAGGGCACCGTATAGCACTGATGAAACAACCAATATTTCTCTGGTTCCTTGAGGCTTCCTCACACCCCACTATCATGACCCCAGTCCTGCCTTTCTTTTTGGGCTAGACCGGAGCATGTACATTGGTACAGATAAGAGCTCAGGACACATGAAATCCGGATCAGATAAACCCCTCAGCAGAATGGGAATAGCGGTACCAGGAGGGTAGGGGTAAGGTGGGGATAGTAGGGGAGGAAGGGGGAACTGATCACAATGATAGATGCATAACCACACCACAGTCCCACAGGGGGATGAGCAAAAGAAATTGTGGAGGAAGGAAGACATCGGTTGGTGTTAAGATATGAAAATAATAATTTTTTAATTAATCAGTCGGCCACGAGAGTGGGAGGAGGGTAGGGAAAAAAGAAGAGCTGATACCAAGAGCTCAATAGAAAGTAAATATCTAGAAAATAATGATGGGAATATATGTCAAATATGCTTGATACAATTGATGTATGGATTGTTATAAGAACTGTAAGAGCTCCGAATAAAATGATTAAAAAAACCAACCAAACAAACCCAAAGCAGTGGAGTTTATTTATGTATGTTGTTGTTATTGTTAGGTGTTGTCCCGTCAGTTCTAACTCACGGTGACCAGTGCACAACAGAGCAAAACACTGGCCGGTCCTGTGCCATGCCCACAGTTGTTCTTATGTTTGAGCCCATGGCTGCAACCACTGTGTCCGTCCATCTTGTGAGGCTTGTGATGGTGAGGGATTATGCCAACTAGACACTCCAGGGTGGAGGTGTAGCTCCACTATCCATCAGGTCACAGTGTGATGGCACCGCCTTGGTGGGGGGTCTTTTGTAGAAGAGACAGAGCAGAGTTGGACTTTTTGGCCCTTGGCCTTGTGTTAGAGCTGGAGCTTGTTTCTGGCTCCTCGATCGTGGTTGTGTCACCTGCCAATCTTAGTAGCCGCCAGCGGACAACCAACAGTGGGTTCATGGGTTGACTTTGTATTCATTTATCTATCTGCCAGTCTGTAGTGCAAGTGCACACACACACACACACACACACACACACACACACACCCTCTCTGCTTTGTCAATAAAATGGCTCACACAGTTGTAGAAATGGGCAATTCCAAGTCCAGGCAAGCTCCAAGTCCGTGGGTTGGATATTACACTGAAGGCTTCTTTGTACTCATGTTGCTGTGAGGCTGTGGGGCTGATGAACCCGAGATGGACAGGAAGACAACAGGCTGTGGCAGCACAGAGAAATGAGTCCAAGGCCGGCAGATCATCGAGCAATACAGCAGGCCATTGGTGCCAGTCCAAAGAACCACAGAGCCAAATGCAGATGCAGGATTCAGAGCAGCAAAAACTAAGCAAGCTCTCCTCAAGTATCTACTTATATTGGAAGCAGGGAACTTCCCTTCAATTGACTGGCTTGTCATAACAGATATTATTATTATGTGTGCGATCTCATCATGGAGGGTGACTAGATCTTAACTACTAAACCAAGTTGACACAAAATAACCATCACAGCAGCCCTAGAGGACAGATTAGAACTGCTTCAAAGTGTTTCTGAGATGGTAAATCTTTAGGGGAGCAGACAGCCTCATCTTTCTTTCAAGGAGCAACTGAATGGTTTGAAATGCTGACCTTGAGGTTAGCAGCTCAATGTTTAACCCACTACACCAGAGTCTTACTTTCCTTCTAGTAGTCTAGGGCTTTGGGAAGGCTTTGTGACAAGCTCCCAATAAAGACTTTGGACACTGATATTCTAATGAACTATATGCTGTTGTATTTTTGCTCCTGGGCGAAGAGTGTGTGCTATGTGACCTCTCCTGAGAAGGAGAAAACATAAGTAAGCCTGCACATGGCTTTAGCTATATACACTAATGTAGAAATCCTAACCATGGTAATGGCAAGGTTGGGAGTTCAAACCTATTAACCACTTCATAGGAGAAAGATGAAGCTGTCTGTCCCTATAAATATTTATATTTCAGAAACCGAAAGGACCTGTTTTACTCTGAGTTGAAATCTGACTAGATGGCAGGGATGGGTTATGGGTACATGGCTACTAAACGTCCGAACATGGAGCCACTGAAGGCATATGCAACGGAGGAAAGGAAAGACCAAGTCACCGTGCCAGTTGTGGAGTTGAAGGAACCCCAGTGGTGCTGATGGGTCAGTGTTGGGCTGTTAACTGCACCGTCAGTGGTTCAAACCCACCAGCTGCTCTCTGAGAGGAGGCTGAAGCTGAGTCAGAATCGACTTTGATGGCAGTGGGTGGGAATTGGAGTAGTGTCATGAATAATGTCTATTATTTTCTATACTCTAATACTTTGTATATTTTGCATAATAATACCCTAATTTTCAGACGAGTTGAGGTGTTTTTTGTTTGTTTGTTTTTTAAGGTAAATATTTTCAGTTACAGAGTGGCCAACCTCTGAAGGTACTTGTCTCATTTTCCCTTAGGGCTGTAATCCCCTTGCACAAACTGGCCGGAGTAAACTGCAGAATCAAAGGGCTGCGTTGAACCAGCAGATCCTGAAAGCTGTTCGGATGAGAACCGGAGCAGAAAACCTTCTGAAGTAGGTGTCTTCAGGCTCCTTAGCCTCTGCTGGCCTGCCCAGCTTCTCCCCCGTGTGTCCCCGCCCCCCTCCAGTTCCCGGGTCTGCCTGCTTCCTGTCTGGCTCTTGGTTTTAGCCTTGGCTTCTCTCCTGATTTCTGGCACCTTGTGAAGAACAGAACTTTTCTGCGTAGAGCTTGGCTAGGTTAAAAAAAGAAAGAAAAAGAAACAAGGATTTCACCGAGACCTTGTTGGATACATGGGGGCAGTGTGAAGGGCAGTGGGGCAGCTGCCTCAAGCAGTAGTCGGTCCCTGGAGCTGGAAGGCCAGGGATTGTCTCCATGTTTGTTTTTCTGTTTTCTTTTTTCTTTTGTAGAAGTGGTCTGTTTTTCCCCACCCAGCACGAAGCCTGGTGTTGCTTGGTAAATGTTTGCAGAGCTTATGAAAAAAAAACTAGGCCTTCGAGCTGCCACGTTCACCTTTCTGAGGCGCAGTGGGGGCGGCCCTGTGGGTTGTGGCCATGGCTGCTGAGCACAGGGCTCACTGAAGACAGGCTTGGTCAGCTGCCGCTGCAAATACCCACCTTCGCCCGTCAAAAGACAGTGTCCTTTATTGCCCCCAAAACAAAGAGACCCCCGTTCTTGGTCCATTCTGATGGACAGTGACCTGCTGTAGGGTTTCTGAGTCTCTGTCTTTCCAGGAGCAGACAGCCTCATCTTGCTCCTGCGGAGCGACTGGTGGGTTTGAACCTCGGTCCAGCACCTCACCCTCAGCACCACTCAGGCTCACCTTTCCTGTGTGCTGGAGTGCAGTTTCTCCTTCAGAGGTCTAGGGGCGACTCTGGTCAGCGCCTTGCCCCATTTTGTGTAATCAAGAGAGTCATCGTGTCTGCTGCCCTAGATCCTGGGGCCGAGATGCTGAACCTCGTCCTGGAAGCCGGAAACACTTGTTCATTGGCAGGAGGGGCCTAAGTCTTCCTGCTTAAAGCTGTGGTTCCCTTCTGGGTCCGCTGGGGACTATGGGTGTTGATGGGTGCTCCCCGAGGCATTAGCTTAATTGCTGGAAGCCCAGCAGAGACCAGGGGCTGTTAGGAAAAACAAATATAAAAATTGGGTGCTTGTGAAAGAGCCACCAAGCCACAGGGCTCGTAGCCCCTGTGGTCACGACCTGCAATGGTGATCTCACCTCTGTGAGGACAGGTCAGGAGAAGGGTTCCCAGCCATGAACTTTGGGTGAATTCATTTCTGAGGAGGTCTGTATTTGCTCCTTAGGGAAACTGTACTGTATTACATCGGAAAGAGAAGGACAGGCGTGCATATCCCGTGTGACCAAGGGGCTTCAGAAAATTCATTGGAAAATGGAATGAAAGGATAATGGAATTTTCTCATGACTCTCTTGACACCCCTGCCCACGCCCAACCCTACCATATTTGTAACATTTTGGCTTTTAGCATTTTAAAGGTGTCCCTAGCTTAAGACAGGTCTAGAGATGGGTGTCATCAGCTCCCCATAGCACAGTGGACCATGGGCAGTCAGTGACATATGGGGGAGACTTGGCTGGGGGAGGGTCTGAGCTGTGGAGCTGGAAAGGCTGCCTGTTGTGACCACCCCCCCACCATACCAGCTGCAGTGTGACGGGTGTCCAGGGTTCTCACTGACCCTTCATAGCCCATCTCGATGGCCTCCCCAGAAGTGGGCTCTGGGTGTTTTGTCTGTTCATCCCCTCATTGTGGAGCATGTCATAAATGCCAGGCAGTGTTTAAAGTGCAGGGGGTCACATGGCTTCGAGGAATTGAGGTGCTTGTGTGATGCCTAAACTCTCGTGGGGGCCCCATGGTGTCAGGAAGTACTGTTTTCTGGGGTGATAGAGAGGGAAATGGCATAGGGGGGTGGTCAGGGAACCTCTCATCAGGAGAGGGGGCTGGGTATTTCCTGGCAGGAACAGGGGCAGTTTTGTCTTGCTCTGTTGATGACCCCAGTTGCAGCCTCTCTGAGCGGGGCTCAAGCTCATTGTCAAGTTAGTGTGGTGGCTGTTGAACTGGCAGGGTGGAGGGTGGGGAGCGCAGGGTTGTTAATGATTCTCCCCGTGACCTGAAAGTTCAAAATGCCCCTCTCTGGAGAATGTTGCCAGAGGAAACCCTAAAGTATTTATTAATCTGACTCAACCGGGACCAATAGTTTCCCGAAAACAAATAGGGTATTGTGCCAACCCGGCTCTGGCCTCATGGGTGTCTGTAGGAGGCAATTAGGTGGCAAGGGTTGGTTTTAGTTATAAAATGCTGCCCTGTCTGCCTGCCTGCCTGTTCGTACATGTCTCCCAGCAGTCCCCACTGCAGGGAGCTAAATGCTGACGGAGAATTAAGGGTCCCAGCCTTTACCTGTCTTGGTAAGGGAGCCTCACAGCAGGGCAGGCACTACAAAGAACCCCTCTTTTTAGACACCCCCTCTCCCCCCAAAGACTTCTCCAATCCATATCCTCCAAGAGTCCACAAGTTGGATTTGATTAGTTTGAGTTGAATTAGGAAGATACTGGCTACTTAAATGTGCTCCTAAGGCTAGCCCCAAACCAAACTCACTGCCATCGAGCCTGGGCCGACTCATAGGACAGGGTAGAACTGCCCCTGTGAGTTTCCAAAACTGTCACTCTTTATGGGAGTAGGAAGCCCCGTCTTTGTCCGATGGGGCAGCTGGTGGTTTTGAACTGCTGATCTGGCAGATAGCAGTCCAAGGCATGACTACACCATCAGGGCTCCTCCTTCAGGATATGCTGGAACAATATTCTCTCCCTTCTTCCGGCTTCCTCCCCTCCTGGAGTAGAATGATATTTTTTTCTGAAATGGAGACAGCCTTTATGAATTTTAATGCAAATCACCAGGTATGAGGGGGCTTAAAAAAGTTTGTGGAACTGTTATAAGGGGAAAAACAACAAAATAAGATACAGCCTGTAATACCAAAAGGGACAGACTTTGGGATTTGCCAAAACTTGAGGGTAAGGAAGGGGGGAGGATGAACAGTGGGCTCCGCCAGTGGTTGGCCAGCTGTGCCTCCTGAGCCGTGTGTGCCTGTTTCAGTCCGTACATGTGACTCTGGGGTAAAAGCGAAAACGCTTTAAAGGGTATTGCTCACATCATGGTGACTTCATGTTTGTGAAAAGATATTTATGTTCTCACATGATTTCTAAATTGTTCTGAGGGACAGGATTGGCTGTTCTGGCACAAAAGTTTGCCAATCCTAGACTGTCGATGGGGTGTTGGCTGCTTGGCTGAGCGGGAGGTGGGGCTGAGTGGGAGGGAGGAGAGATATTGAGGAACAGGGAGGAATAAGGTGATGCAGGTTTGGTGAGTAGGTTAGACTGTGGAATACAAAGTTAACAATCTGAAATGGAAACCTCCACCTAAGTTATAATTTTTTTTAAAAATTGTGGGCAAGAGAATAGATTTTTTCTGTGAGTTTACAAAAATTGTTTTATTGACATATGCTTCACATATCATACAATTTAATTGTTCAATCATATAGATTTTTTTACTTTATTAGAAGCTCTTACAGATATTATGGAATCCATAGTTCAGTTAGTTAAAGCATGATTTTACAGTCATTGTCACGATCACTTTCAAAACATTTTCTTTCTTTCTGTACTCTTTGGTATCAGCTCCCTCTTTGATTGTATTAGAAGATTAGTGCAGTCATCACTACACTCAGTTTCAGTACATTTTCTCCTCTTACTCATTGTTGGTAGCGCCCTCTGTCCCCGTCCCCTCCTCTGCCAAACACCTAGGCAATTCTCATTCTAGGTGCTGTCTCTATAATCTACCTCCGCGAGCTTTCACGAAGCCCTCCTGCAGTTCAGCTTTAGCTAACTAACTAGTTGTGCACAGTGGGTTTCCAGGGCCCCTCTCATACGGGGAGCCAGTGGACAACCTGAGAAGCGACCCACTCACAAGGTGGGCATGCGTGAAGGGGGCTGGGGTTCATGTGGGGAGCCCGAACACTTGGGTGGGTAGTAGGGGCCATGCTGAGCCGCAGCATAAACCCTCATGGAGGGCTGTCAGATGGTCTGGGTGTTTTCTTTTTTTCAAGAGTTGCTAGAGATCTGACTGTGTGTGTGTACGTACATTTTCTGGTATTAAATTTTTGAATACGCTCAACCACTTTTAAGTGGGAAAAGAATAACAAATGCCCTGTGAGAGAGGTGGGTGACTTGCACAGGCTCCTGACTAGAGTCATGATGCTGTGGGTCATGGGCAGCCTGTGATGCCCGGGTCTGCACTGAGAGTGAGCTCTCAGGGTTAATGGCTGTGACAGTATAAGGCCTCCCTGGACTTTGAGGCGGCCCCTACTCCAACTCAAGACTCCTTGCACCAAGACGTGGGCTGGATTCAGGTGTCCCTCCAGACGGGCAGATCTGTTGCCTCTGTCGGGTACTCACCCGAAGGCATGGGGAACATTTGCTCCGTCCGCCCAGAATCCCAGGCCTAGTCGGATTTGGAGACAAGTGGGTTAAGGCCATGCTCCTCCAATGAGGTTTGTTGACCTCCAAAGCTGCTCGAAGTCCCAGCATCAGTGTGGTGCCTGTACTTAGAAGGTTGAGTTCCCAAAAAACATTTTTGAGGAGAAAATGAGGACATGTGGCTTCCAACGCCAGATTTGGGTGCATTTTAAGCCACAACTTGGAGGCATCACATCTTAGACACCACTTCTGTTGCTGGAGAGTTCTGAGGAACTCTAAGCGGAAGTAGGGGTGTGCTCAGTGGTCACAGGAAATAGTTGAACATGGTCTTTCTTCCCTGTGTTTCCCACCTGGCAGGTTGATCTCTCACAGAGTAAACGGGCCACCTGCTCATCCTAGCCTTCTGCAAGACTCCTGATCCCTCTGTGAGAATCCACGGCAATGGTTCTTTTCTTGGTGACGCAGCCAGAGAGCGCCTGGGGAAGGACCCGGGTGGACATTCTAGGCGGGAATGGCTGAAGGTGCCTTCCTGCCACTCCCCAAGTGATCCCAATGCCCTCTTCTGGCTATCCCATC